CACAGATAGATAGATAGATAGAGAGAGAGAGAGAGAGAGAGAGAGAGAGAGAGAGAGAGAGAGAGAGAGAGAAGAGTGAAACTCGCGTTATAAACGAAAAATACGGTAGAAACAATAAATTAAGCCAGTCGTTGCCAAATGTCTTACGCAAACGTCGGTGCAAAAAACAGTGAATATAATAATAAATTATAGTTTAAATAAATTCAGGGGAGGGTCGCTTATGTAAAAATNAGAGAGAGAGAGAGAGAGAGAGAGAGAGAGAGAGAGAGAAGAGTGAAACTCGCGTTATAAACGAAAAATACGGTAGAAACAATAAATTAAGCCAGTCGTTGCCAAATGTCTTACGCAAACGTCGGTGCAAAAAACAGTGAATATAATAATAAATTATAGTTTAAATAAATTCAGGGGAGGGTCGCTTATGTAAAAATAGACGTACAAAAACAAGGACGCGGGTTCGGGAGGGGAAGGGACCGAGGGAGATTTAAAAAGGGAAAATTGGGAAATTGAGGGGCCAAGGGGGAGGGCGAATAACTAAATAATTTAATAATTAAGTAAGACAAAATCTCGCCATCGGGGGATTCATTTAAGTAGTGTTGGTTAAAACTCCTTATCAGCTAAAGTCAAACGCGTAGAATACTGATACATAAAAAAAACTCTATAAGAAGCCTCAGCTTATTTTTCTTCTTTACCATTGTTAAAAAAAAGAATTAATAAAAGAAAGAAAAAAAGGAGAGAAGACGAACCGTTCGTGTTTGTGTCTGGCGGTCCCTGCAACTAAATCTTACTTTGTTTAAAAATGATCGTATTATCTTGTAAACGTTTTTACCGTAATTCATACTCGACAGTGAGTGAGTGAGTGAGTGAGTGAGTGAGTGAGTGAGTGAGTGTGTGTGTGTGTGTGTGTTATATGTAGATATATATAGATATATATACCTCATATATAATAGCAATACTCGATTTCTCGTGTTCTAATAATTATAAAAAATATCCTCTAGATTTCTTCAGAATTAGTAGAGAGCTCAAACCTATGTTCTACTTACACGCCTACGTTGGTAATAATCATAATAATAATAAAAAATATATATAAGAATAATCATAATAATAATATTAATAATAATAATAATTATGTTTTTCGTGTGGTTTAACAAGCTACCGCGAGCCAAAAAAAATTACAACTGAGGGAGAAAAAAAATGCCTAACGAAGTAACTGTCCATTTCATCCACTTTGTCTTCGTCTATCGATGTTATTCTGCATAAATAAGTTCGTTCTCTTCGCGTATGGTACACTTATAAAATGGTATGCTACACAAGTGTTTCTGTCGACGAAATTTAAAACTGGCGGTCCGGGGGCTTGACAAAACGTTCCCCCCTGTGTACTTTAATAGTCGTTTACTTTCGATTTCGTCTCCCCGTTAAGGAGATGCTGTTTAGTCTACACGCGTCATGTATCTTTTAAATAAGCGTCACTCTCTGAATAAACAATTTTATTACAACCTCGCAGGATAGTCAATGGGAGAAAATATAGAAGAAATTCATGCACGTTAACGAACCAATAATGAAATCTTGTTAATTTTGCAAGCCGATAGCTATTCTGCCTTGAATTTGTTTGTATTTACATATAGTGTAAACGCAAACGAATGAGGTATACATAGTAAAGGCTTATTTAAAAGATACGTCACTCCCGAGCCTACTTGTGAAACAGGAAATACATTGAATACGTACTAAGTGGAAGGATCATTTCGACGCATGAGAGAGAAAGCTTAGCAATCTGTCATTCGGATCGCACTAGTGAGAAACCTCATCATCGCTTATGTCTCTTCCTCCAATACTCGGGTAGTCAGTAACGAGATACCACATGCACAGTGCCGTTCTTATGAAATCAACGTCATTCAAAATCCATTATGTATACTGTCTAGGCTGCGTGCGATTTCGCAAGACCGCGATCAAATAAAAATTTTAACGCGGCCGTTTCCCTTTTTAACGTCAATCTTATGAAACCTTTAACAAAGGAGAGAAATTTAGCTCTTATCGTCTCGTATTGGAGCTAGCATAAACGCACGCAGTCTATGCATACATCGCTAATCACTAAATAAATATATATTTATACGTTTTTATGAAACATTGATCACACGAACCAATTATTCGCTTTCATATTTACAATTGTTCTGGCGGAGAAAAGAAAGAACAGCACTTCACCGTGGTATCATTGGTACTTGTACATTAATAGTACATATACATACATATACATGTATATATATATATATTTATATATATATTGTGTATATGTATATACATATGCATGTATATCTGTACGAGTGTGTTCATAAGGCTCCTTTGATAACGACTAAAGACTAAGTTTTGCTCCACGGATTACTGCCAAGCGAATTTGAAGAAGCTCTGTCTAAACAGCCCTTACCAAGAGTTATCACTGATAAGAAGACTGAGAAAAAGTGGTTGAGGCGGGGTAGGAGAAACAAAAAATGAAGGAGGAGAGAGAAATGTATAAATGTTGTGCATGACGTCGTGAAAGAGAAAGATAAAACGTTAATTTTTATCGTATGCCCTTAACTATACTCTATGTTACACAGACTAAATCTATTTTTGGCAAAGTTGTTTATGTATACAATGTTAGATTATTACGATACATGAGTAGATGCACTGGCCATCGTATTATGTGCTATTTAGCTTCCCTTAATACCTGTTTATTAACACATGATCTGTACAATCTGGAAAAAAGTAAATCAGTGATAGCCCTTAGACGAAAAGAATATAATAAGGGAAAAGAGAAAAAGATAATGGATTTGAGAAGATAAACCCCCGGTTAGCAGGCACATTTTCAGTCAACTAAGATATACTATTGTCACATTCTCGGTTCACAAAAATCGCAAAATGATGATCGTACTCTGAGACTATTATAATATCATCTATTAATAAAAGAGCGATAACGATTTATCTATTTTTACACTGAACACGAAAGAGATTCATGAGACGAGAACACATGCGTATCTCATACAATAAATACTGTACTTATCTAACTACAATTTGGCAATAACTTGTATAAAAAAATTTCCTGTCATCGCACCTGCTTATACTGGTAAGTTTTGTTATGGGTTAAAATGACCATTCACCCTGAGAGGGTTAATTGATTAACGAGACTGAGAAAAATCACAGTTTTCCTATTCTTCTTTTTACAAATATATTAAGTAGTAACATGAACAAGTTCAGTTGTTTTTAATACTTTCTCTTAATTGGTTTGTATCAATCTATGCTTGTATGTTTATAGAAATTTGTTTATGTTACAGCCTAATATAAAACAAACAAAGTCGAGGAGAGAATTTGGTAAAATAATGGTTAACGGATGCCCGCAGCAACCGTGGAGCAATAAAATTTGTTACTTTTAACGTCCGGCATACAGAATGAGTGTAATCTAAGTATTATTTCCTGAAGTTTCTTGTATGTTTGTTCATTGTCGTCGAGAGAGCATGTGAACGAGTATTGTGTGACGACAATCTACGTACCATCGCGTTTCTTATTGCTTTCGGAGTCTTAGCTTATACATGGTGGTTGCGCTGTTTCATCTATTTAAGTACAAATTATTCAACGGCTGCGTCAACAGCCGCAAAAAAGCCTTCCGAGACGTTACGGGGTAGGGTATAATAAGAATCAGGGGGCAAGGGGCAGAGATAATACGTAAAAGGTAGAAAAATCAGTATTAAATGTGTTCACACCGGCAGTCTCGTGCTCACGTAAAAAAAAACGTACCTACATCGTCTAAATGAAGATCTTGTTATCTTGTAAGTAAATATTCGCGCGCTTTTGCTCGCCGCGTCTGATATAAGAGCTAAGGGGAGGGATAAGAGGGAAGAGATAAATCGCTGAAAGGCCACTAGAGTATGATGATACTGGCATTAACGTAATTTGGCAAAGCTCAAATTACCGAGTACGCATCGGACAATTATACAGTTAACACATTTGTCACGTCGTGCAACCGTTTTCTGCTGTTCCATTGTGATCTCATCCCCGCAACTAACCGAGGGGAGAGAACATCCTTTGCGTTATTTAAAGCCGATTTAAAAAATACATTCTCTTCACAGTTTTTTTCTCGCTCATTAATTAGAATTAGCTGGGTCGTTTCTTTCACTTAATTATTACGCAAGACAACGAGAGTATTATGATTGTTACCGTCACTGACAGCTAAAAGCCCGTGGAACAAAACGGTGAGAATTTTCATGTTCACTAATCGTGTTTAGTGACAAAACGTTCTTTTCCTTTAATATCGTCTACGTTTTTCGGTTTTTCTCATTTTTATACTTTCTAAGTCTTCCCGAACAGTAATTTCTAGCACCGTTCTTAGACACTTTCACCGGTGACTGTCTTTCTTACGTCACTAAGAAAACAGACAACGACCACCATCATTACATATCTTTATCTCAACGCGAGAATACATGCGCGACACCGAAAGAACAATTTGCGCGTGTTTATGTACAACGATCGCCCGTCGCTCTCTAGCTGCAAGCGTACAAAATTTTGTATAAAAATATTCTTCGTATTATCCGTGTATATATATGTACATATTTCGAATAACCACGTAATTAATACTGCGTATTTAATATCATCGTTCCTTCGTGCGCTCTGCGCCACGGGCTTGGTAGCTCGCGGGAAAAAAAGATCATCCCCCCCATAATGTCCTGCTACCTAATGGTTCTCGGCGTTCTCGCTACGGGAATAGAGACAGAATTAGAGAGAAAAGGAGAGCTCAAAAAAGGAGAGGATCTCCTCTCGAACGAAAACCGGCAGCAGACATCATGAGGAGAATGATCTCGTTTTCTACACCCTGTGTATCACTGGACAGAACTTTGCTGTCTAGAGATTCTTTGTTATACGTATTTAATATGTATATATATACTTAGCAAAGTCGTTCTGTAGCTGGCCAAAAATGTGTTTCAGTGTGTGTCTTCGGATAACGACGTCGCAACTAAGTTCAATGGTACATCGGAGACATTTTCTTCGTCCCCCTCGTCTGTTTCTTTGACATCCCCAGGTAAGTGACATTGTTCTCGGCCTTCTGCTTTCACGTGCTACCACAAACATTCAATTAGAATTCGTCATTCGACAACATTAGTTAACGATGAACTGGCATTCGCTAAAAATCTTTAAAAATTATAGAACACTCTCTAGATTTTAAAGTAAGATCTGAATAATATATGAATGAATCTAGTGAAAACGCTAGATATTTTATACTTACATGCATCATGTATGTAGGCAAGGGAAGGGAGTAATTAAGTTGAGCGGCAGGAGGTGGTGGATGCGCACCAGGTATACGTGGCGGTGTCAACGCTGCAGCCATCATTAGATGAGGTTGTATTTGTCTTCGTAGAGCCGCCAGCATATCTGCACTTTCTGCGTCCATTTGTTCAGATTGCGGTGGCAAAATTACGTCTCCTTTTTCTGAAAAAGAAAGAACGCCCGCATTGAAATAAAAATATTCAAACACACTATGGTGAGTATAAAACGTCTGAAGTTCCTACTTCTATGCCTCGTTGGTTTTTCACCCTTAGGTCTACGTCTACGCGTGTGTATCGTATCCCTTCGCATAGTGGATGGACGGTTCACCCCGTGGAGTTTATAATAAAGCCCACAAGCGTTACAGACCATCTCCCCTTTCATGTTTCTTCTCCAAATAGTCGTGGTCATAGTACCACAATTTGTGCAGGACATGTCTACCTTTTTAGTCATGTTGCCGCTATGCTGATCATACTGTTGTTTCTGATCCTCCACCTGTAACGATGAGACTGTATGAATATAAGTCTGGCGGGTGTACTAATCAAACGTTAGTAATTAAACGTACCTTCACCTTCATTTTATTTGACCATGCAGTAAAATCTTGGGCTTGTTCTTCGTTCGGTTCATGCTGGTAATTAACGATGTCCGGACTCATTGGAGCTTTACTAGGGTAACTTTGTTTTCTGCGACCCTTTGTCTCCTTCCGTCCGACACTGGCTGGACTGGATGGATTGCTATCCACGGAAGTACCCTAAACGATGATTGTTACTTCATTACCACGAATATAAATACTACATTTAATCAGAGAACAAAATTAATTCTGTGATAAAATATGTTGAAATAATGAAAATTTAATAATAAAACATTCGAAAAATGTAAACAAATTTACATGTATAAGTATATTTTTACTCAATCTAATTCTTATCGAAATTATAAGAACTATAATAATCTATAATTATTTGCAAGGAAATGTAGAAGATTTGTAGCTTGAAAATCGGTGTAGGTAGGGGTATTTTGGCCGAGAATTCGAGAAAAATAGCAGTAATTCCCTGTAGGTACCTGTTATCAGAACAAAAAGCCAATAGAATGGAAAGCCTCACAAAGGATACTGCAGTCCTGTTCCTCATTCTACTAGAAATTGAAGAATTCCTCGCGCCGAACAAAATACGCTCTAAAATCTATAGAAATCCCAAGTTATCTGAACATCTGTTAACAGCGGGTTGACATGGTGGGCTCCGCGCTTATGGCCTATCATAAAGAGGCTTCCCAGTTATCTATTATCTACAAGGCCTACCACGTTTCTTACCTGCAGGCAGATGGGACCTGAATAGACCCAAAAGGGATCCCTTGACACCCAAGGGTCACCTGACCTGTTTTTCTTTCTATACCTGCAGATCTCTTCTGGTATTTGCATTGAACAAACTGCAAGGACTTCCCTCGGAAAACTTTTATTTGCACGGAGATCAGAGCCCGAAAAAACGGTCACCGAAAGGAAAAGCAAAGAATCCCCGTTTCTCTTCACAAATCCCGGAATTTTATTTCAACTTATAACTCCAAAAAAAAGTTAATGTTTACGGCTGTTTGTGCATGCTGACATCATATGTTTCATTAGCAGTTGATTAGGAATTCCGTAAATATTTGGGAAGCCCAGAAGTTATAGCTACTATCGATAATATGTGCCCACGAAGGAATTTAATTATAGATATTAAATAACGCAAACCTTGTTTTCTATACACGGGACATTGGTGCGATTGCCGAGCACAGAGCAGTCCGGTACTGTACGCTCGATTGTAGTTCCTTGAGTATCTCTGTAGAACCTAATTTGCGGTGACACTCGGTCCGAATCGACAGCAGTAATACCGATCTGTCTGTTATTAATTAACGAACGCAGAAGATTAGTTGCCTCGCCGGTAAATCCATTATTCAATTTGTCACCGTTTGTCCTGGTAATCTCTAAACTCCTGTTGCTGTAAGAAAAGCAAATCAAGTGTTACATTTTCCATGAAATAATTCCACGAAAATACAATGGCTTAATAATAAAGTGCCGAGATAAGATTCTGTGGGTAATTGAGTTCCTACTCTAATCCCAAATAATGACAATGGTATCTTATCTGTGGGACTACACCTGCTGTAAGTGGCAGCTACTTAAGTAATCCATTAGGTAAATATGCATTTGTTACACAAAGCTTATTTGACTATCTTTAATTCGTAACTGCATAAATTAATAGCAACAATATCCACTGAACAAACAAGTGTACTTCTTTTATCAATGGAACGTAAATTACATTTTGTTCTCAAAGAGAAGATCATTTATTCTATACTTAATGGATTCTTCTATTTGAACTATGTTTTAAATAAAAACATTGTACTCACTTTGCTAATGCTTGCCACAGTTTAGTCGTTTCTTGATCTATATTAGTGTCTGAACAATTGCTTTCTGGTGTGTCCATTCTATTTACTGGACTGTGATTGGGGGTACTTTGTTTCGATTCCTCGTAATTTGTTTCCACTTTCATTCTTTTGTTAATGGTCATGTCATAACCATTTTCCTCCCCTTCTGTATCCTGTTCATCTCGATCTTCTATTTCTAATCTGTCTGGATCAGAGCTGTTCGAACAAGTGTCATCCTCTGGTTCACACTTAATGTTATCATGCTCTGGCATATCATTGGTGCGCAACTCCAAATGATGTGTTTGCGTCTGAGGTATAACGTTTTGATTAATGCTGGCCGGAGAGTTAGGCTCCTCATTGAACAATGTTTTGTTCAATTGGAGAAATGACTGTAGAGGACTTAAGCCTGCTACTTTGGCAGTGGAGAAAGACTTCTTCTGAAACAAGATAAGGTTGCATGATTAAAATAAGAGAAAATCATACTAAAAGAACATTAACACAATTTACTGCACAATTATTTATCAACAAAAAGTAAACATATGCTGAGTAGTTTCTTTTAATGCGAGGAATTAAACACAGTATTTGTACTTTGTACCTGTTCAAGAGTAAATAGCAGGAAAATAATTAGCTATGCATAACTTTTTTTTATAGTATAGTCACTATCAAACTGATAAGGTTAAAGTTGATTGCAATAAAGAAAACCTTGAAGTATCTTATGTAATTACTGATATATCGGGGCACAGAAGCAAATACATGGTATCCTGCACATATTACTAATGTGTTGGAGTTACATGGAATACACATGTGCTGAAGCATTCTTATCTACAATCACACATTACATGGTCACGGTTACATCATTACTAGGAATGGGAATGACTACTACCTCTGTCAGCAATGTTAAACTAATTTTTGTTCATTAGTCAATAAATGGTACACTTATATTATCTGACTCCTACTAGCATATATGTATTGCTGATGGCACCCATGTTAAAACCATATACAAAAATTACTTAACAAATACCTGATCATCGTGTGATGATAACTGCTTGGCATAATCCAGGTACTGTTTGAGTATGACATCAGATTTGTGTGACACCTCACGGAAATTGTGTAGTACATCCAACTTGTACACACACCGGTGACAGATAATCGGTGGCAAAGAATCCCCATCTTTCACCTGAATAAAATGCATCAAGAAGATTGATTTTACAATCCATTCAGATCCCCTATGTCTATATAAGACAGAGCCTACATTGTTTAATGGATATGCATCTAGGTCATTTTGTGGAATAAACAGATTTAAAGCAATTTGGAATTATAATAATTAATACAGCATCCCTAGCATGATACCTTAGCAGGGATCAAAGAATAAACAATTGAATAAATGGTTTCGAATGCATAGGAAAAAAATCTCGAGAGTCATTAAGAAAATAAAGAAATCTCAGACGATGAAAACGCGTTCGGTCCAGACGGGAAACGAATGCGATGCCGAACGCAAAGTGTTGATCGTTTAAAGTAGGTTGGACGGAAGCAGAGCTTTCCTCCAGAAGAGCATATATGTATAGCGAATCGTGGACGGGAAGACGAATTACAGAGGGAGAAGAGCAGTGAAATGTGACAGCGACTCGTGGAATCCGCGTGTGAAACCTGATAACAGGCCGTCTAAATAAGGAGCTGGCTCCCCTCTCCTTTGGATCCGCACGAGCGAGGAGCAGAGCTTATCACTGCCATTTTAAATGCCCCCGTGAGTAGTCGGCTTATCTCGCGGACACATCTCTTGCCAAACTTTCTCCCGTGGCACGCGCACACACACACACCGCACACACACATTATCTACGAACACACGCACCCTTGAGAGACAGCGAACGTTGAATAAAGACGAAACACGACGTAGACGAGGACGGACGAGGCGAGACGAAGCGAGAGTGATGGGAGCGCACGCGAGAGAGAGGGAGACACGCTGATAATGCGAGCAACCACAGATGGTCGCGTCTGATTTATCATCGCGAGCGCACGAGGACCCGGTGAAAACTCGGAAACGGGACTCACCGTGATCGAGAGGCATGTCAGTATCTTGTCGGCGAAGTTTCGCTGTGCGCCCTCCTCCTCGAATATGGACAATTTGACACCGTCCGACGATAAACAAAGGCGACACAGCTCGTAGAACTTGGGCGGTACATCGAACATAATTGTGAGCTCCGGCTACGTTGCGCCCTGCGTAAAGCGCGAGTCATCAAGAGGTAGACTCTTTCCTTGGCCGACGTACTATCTTTCTCCACTGCCACTACGCGTTTAGCGACGAGGAAGGGTACGCGATCACTTATCACAGTCACCGCCGCGGCTCATTGTCAGCGGCACAGTGCATACGATCATACAGTCTCGATTCTAGCTAGAAAGGCGACTACTATCCGCTCCATGCGACCTCCGGATACAGACTGCGCGAGATACGACTCCCCGCCATTATTAGAAAATCGATTGCTAATGCGCATGCGTGTGTAAGTGGGATCATTATAAACACACCACTAAAATTTTATGTACAATATACGCGTACTAACGCTTTTTGATAACTGTACTAGATTGAACGATATATATACAATAGTATAATAGTATTTGATCGAAAAATTACTTGAAAAAGAAAGTGTATGTACATTTTGAATATCTAGAAGGTTAATTCATTCAAAAGAATTTTATCGTAAAATTAAAGTTGAAAAATTAGATTTTGCCGAGAAAAATGTATGGTAGTCCACCTTTTGGACTACCATGAAGATCTGATTATAAATAAAAAATCTAATTTTTAAAATACTATAGAGTATACCACAATAGGTAAAATATTATTCAGATTATAGAATTAATAAGAATAAATAGATATTATGTTTTAAATATTAGTTTTTCGCAACAATTTTCATCCAATAATAGTGTGGCAAGGTCATCCAATTTACGGATATAATAATCAAAGATTCCAATATAAGTTTCGCCTCTAATATGTCGTACGTTTTGGATTACGATTCTCAATCGCCACCACTTGATGGCGCTCGAATACCTGTGCAACCATTTTGAAAATGAAATGAAATGCGACAGAAACTTGTGTAAACAATATTTTAAATATTTAACTTATAAAAAGTATTTTTTAAACTGTTGTATTACTTGTAATAAGTAATTGTGAAATCCTCGCAATCACATATCACACTAATAAAGTACTGATAATTAAAGCTATTTCGTTTGACATTTTCAATTCATTTTCTTTTAACAATTTCTAAGAATCTAATCGTATATTTATCGATAAAAATGTTCTCCAAAATAAAAGGACACTGTTACATTTTAACAAGAATCTCATGTTGAATATACTAAGATTTTGTTTGAAATGTATTCATAAAATAACAATAATGTTTTGAATACTTAATTTCACTGGAGAACTCAAATGTCCGATCAAACACCGCGCCATCTTTCTTCTTGTACCATTTTTCTGGACCGTCTGGCTTTCCTGTTACACTTGTTATATAATTTAACTCGCGAAAAGTGCAAGATGCCATCATTATCTGTAAACACAGAATTGAGACAAAGAATTCTAATTTAAGTTTTCTAATTAACCGTATTGTAATCCTAGGATAACGATTCAGATTCTTTCGATCGTGGAGACTGATATACGTTCCAGTTTTCGGATTACGTCGCTAAACTTATTTATATTCGCGTAACAGATACTTCTTTCTTGTTTCTATACATCTTGTAAAAGGTAACTAGTAACTGTACTTTCGCATCGCGGACGATGAATTCAGGATAAAGAGAATTCTCTGAACATGAAGGCAGTTAAAAATTTACCGCTAAGACGGCAAAACGATGATTCCCGATTCCATCTCCTGGAAATCAGTTCATCTTCGTTGCAAAAACTTTTCATAGATGATGCTATTCTTTTGCTCGTGATGTAACGCTAGACAAATGTATTATTAGTCAGGAACTAGACAACGGAATTGTCAGGAATCACGTTGAAACGATGTCCTGATGCTATGGTATCATAAAAATGATAAAAAATTTAATTGACTAGATACTGATTGGTTCAATGTCATGCGTTAATCGGAAATCAGCAAACGAATCGATGGAAGAAACAGGTTTCTTATCACGCGTCATTTTACTAGGAATTTCATTACATCGAATAAGTAGCCCAACCCATAAATAAATCAGGCAAACGGGGGGAATGACTAACGCAAGATTACGCGACCCATCGGCCACTTTCGGCCCACGCTATTTTATCACGCGTTTAATCCGATCTTCGTACGTATAAGGTTATGATACAACGGTCCATAGATTACGAGTCACATCCTAACTGTTTACTAATGTAAAACAATATTCAAATTTTGATTGTAATCGCGATTAATTACTGTTCCTCACTCTGCTCCGTTTTTTTTATTGTCTTATAACCAAACGATTATGAAGTTGCTTGTACTACCTTCATATATCAACATATAGCTTTTATTATTACTATGTATAACAATATTTACATAAATGTACAAGTGACACACATTTTAGTAAATGTGTGTGCAAATCACACGGAGTGCCAGACAAAGATAAAATTGTACTAGGCAAGAGATAATTTAAATGGTCACCTTCTCCCTTAAAAAACTATTATATAGTTAATTTAGTCTGTCTTCAAGTATTTAATATTCTACAAAACGAAATGTGAAAAATAAGGCTTTTTGCCTATGTCGTTTCTTGCTGTTTTATGCTTGGAATAGTACGAGCTTCATTTCTCTGTTCTGGCATTAAGCATCATGAATATTAATCAAAGATGAGTAATTCTACCATATGTACACTCCCTGAATAGAACCATAATACACTGGAAAAAAATAGTCTTATCAATGAGTTACTTATCTTTACAAGAATAGCAACTATAAATACATTCTCGAAAAATCTTTATAAAAGTTCTGGAACTAAAAGAAGACTAGAATTTTTTCACAATGTTACACTGCGAAAACTTTCATGCAGTATATAAAATCTGTTTCTAATTGTTCACATTATAACGGTAGAAAAAATTGAAAGTACTTTGATAGACTGATTGTAAAAAAGCATTTCATTCCTATCATGAAATGTTCGACATTAATTTAAATGTATCTGAAGATTGAATTTTGAGTATTAAGAAGGAATGTTCCGTTTAAAATCATAAATAAACGTGTTCCTCTTTTGTGATGTACGTTCACAAAAGCAACACGAAAGTGTTCAAATATACAGTCGCATTCATTTACAGAAAAAGGTGAGGTATATACTATACATATCGTATGAGGTCATGAAAAAACTTAAGTAAAATAACGTTTACCAGAATATACCTATCATTAAACTTATATCACAATTCGCTTTTAATCGTTTCCTTCCCAGAAATTTTTTGTCGTGGAATAGCATTTCCTGTTCGAGTACTATTCATTTGACTATCTAACTCGATTAACCTAATATTTCTATAATATTTTCTATATTTCCTCCTAATGAGTTTCACTTTCTGTTGATCTTTTCTGAGATCCACGGTGGTGCCTAACATCAAGTGTATGTCCTTAATATGTGCTAACTTCAATAAAATGATTTTTCTCTTGTTTTTAGCATTCTTTCTTCCGAGTAAGTTAATGTGCCTAATAAATTTTCGATAATCCCGGAGCAATTGTTCAATGATATCTAAACACAGCCAACGTGTTCGAGCAATGCATTTGTCTGGTTGCTCTCCAGCTCCAGACTGACAAATATTTACAAGAGCTTCGACATGCAAGTCTTCATCCAAATTCGCCAAGACAAAGTTAACAAGATTAGGAATGGTAATTGGCAAAGAAAACGGATACACCGTGCTATCCTCTTTTCTGAAATAATTTAGAATAAGATTTACCAGAGAATTCGATTAAATTGGCTACGCTGTAATTACCTTTTGGCAGGAAAAAACAGAATGGATGGGAATCGATTCATATTATATTCCCACGGTAAATCATTGTTATCACCGTCAACCCTGACGAATAGAAGATGATCCATTTTACGTAGGTAATGAGCCACTGTTAAATATGTATATGAAATCGCGCTACAAAATGCACAATAAGGAGAATGGTACATCACAACCACATCCTGCAGAGAGATCATTAAGTTTAATAAATGTTCTATTATAATTATAATTTGACTTTGTACCATTGTGTGTTAATTCGTCATCTAATTTACCTTCATAGGATCTAAAATTGTGTCTAGGAAGGTTTCAGTTGTTAACTCTGGTATACACACGCTCTGCACACCTTCCACATCGCAAGTAACATTATTTTTAAACTTCTGAGCGTAACGCCTTGAGTTACTCGATCGCAGAGTCCGTTGTAAAAAACCGTGAGTATAATTATTTATAAATTGTATAAGTGTATATCGATTAAACTCATCCTGCATGACATATTGACTTTCGTGCTGGAAAAAATAGTATCACATTAATAATACTATTAAATCATGATATCAAAGACAGGAGCAAAGTTGAACTTACAGCGGCATCTAATATAACGACAGCAGTCTTATCTTTTCGTTTCAAGACGTCTATTCCAAGTGCTTCTGCAAAATAGAAGTAGTGCAAACTATCAATTGCTATCAGGCCCAATGTTGTATTCGTTTTGCGCACTGAGATCTTTAAATCTATATCCGGTTGGTCAGGATCATCACGTGGAAATATGGGCTCATGATATTTTTTTGCAGCTATCCATCTTTTACATTGCTGTTTTAAATAATTTTGCTTAACAGCTTCGGCAGATTGTGAGTCACGTTCCCTTCCAGGGAATGAAGATGCTTTCTTTCTTTCACTAACAAAAAAAAAACAGTAGCAGGTGACGAATATCGTGTATCTGATAAGCATTTTCGTACTTTTTAAATTTAAACCCTTGTTGTAGCTTCGCAGGTATATGAGCTTTGTTACAGCAAACTTCATATTTCTCTTGCAGATCCTCCACAGGAGAAAGTTTAAAAATATCTGCACCTTTACACATATGGCCCAATTTATCCGAGTCAAGTCTGCAAACGGATGTTATCCTCTCCGCATCGTTCAGAACATTTTTTTTACACAAAGAACATTTATTTATTACAACATTAGCACAACAACTATCATTAATCCATCGTTGGATAGAAACACTAACGACCGATTCGTTTAATTGATTTTTGTTCTCCTTTAGTATCTTTATACATTGTCTGTTTCTCTCAGAGTGCCTATTAATAGCAGTGCGGCGATTAAAACTGAGCCGGTCGAAGATATCTTTAGCCAAGAGACTATCCGCATAGTTATAATACTGAAGTCCGATTTCTCTAATCTGAAACATTAATAGAAATTTTATTAGAGATCTCTCGGATGGAAAAATTTTTTCTAGATTACTACCCACCAAATTATAATTGTAATTTTCAACGTGTAAAGGATTACGAGGTGTGAAGAGAAAAAGTACAGGCCCCTCTTTCAAATATGGTGCTAAAGTGAGTGCTTTTACCCCTGGAGGTTGTAGCCATAATGCTGGTTGATGAAGGGATGTTGTAATCCAATTTAATATATTTTCGGAAGTCCAGTCAGAATCTTCTGGATACCTCTAAACATTTGAATTCTCAAACTCATTTAATCATCCTATATATGCAAATGTTTCTGCTTTATACATTACGCATTGACATGTACTCCTTTATAAAAAATTTTCATATACTTACAAGAGATTCATTCCACATCAGCAAATCTGCAGATGGAAATTTATAAACGTTATGATCTCTTTCACTGGCTAATGCACTGGTAACAATAGCAAAGACCAATTCTCTGTTAGGATCACTCTCTAAAGCACTAATAGCAGCCTTGTGAAATTCTTTGTAACCAGGAGTTCTGTCTAACCTTGTGAAATTAAAATATCCTACTACTACAGCCTGGAATAGTGCACACAGATGATTACGTGTTATGTGTACAATAATTTAAAATATTAATTACTTATTCATATTTACATCATAATTCACAATTAATTCTATCAGCTGATCTGGATGGGTGATCCTAACTATTGGATTCATTGCTGCATTAAGGAAACGAATCATGTACTGTGAAGTACGAATGCCTTTGTATTGTACACCAGATTCTCTTGCTGGATATAGCATCAAGAGAGGGTATCTTTGAATTTTATACTGTGCTCTACATTCTGAGCTAGGATGCCAGCAATTAATAGCAGCAAAAAATATCTGAAACAACAATTATAATAATTACTTTGTTTCTACAATACCTTTCAAACTATCAATAGTTACCTGTGAGTCATAATACTCAGCAACTTTCTCAAATTCTGGTCGCACTGTTTGACTCTCAGCATCCCATGGAGCATAATACATAACAAAACTGAAATCTGATTCTCTGGCCCTTTCTATCACTGCTCCCATATGACCTTTATAAAAATCTAACACAATTGAACTATGATTAAAAAATGGCTTGGCCATAGGCGGCTTTGACACCTTAGGTGATCTAGAAATAAAAACAAAATACAAAAACTGCTGCTGTATTTGCAAACTTAACATAAACCATCTGTTATAATGTATCCAAAGCCTGCACGTCATGATAAATGATTAATATGTAGAATGATCTTTGCGTAAATTTTTATTTTCATTAATTATTCACGTATAAATTAGATCAGAAGAAAAAATCTTTTTGCAACCCGAAGATGTCTTGTAGCACTGTTATTAAATTTGCTTGTACTTAAAAATTTTGTTGGTAATAAAAATGCATGAAGATTCGCGATTTAATAAATCTAATAATCAGAGATTTAACATAACCTAAATCTTACGAGCTATGTAACGCAGTCAAGGCGGTGAAGGTGACTGCGAGAAAAAAACAGATTTCCCTGGCGTAGGAGAACATTTTGCTGGCCAGCTTCTCTTCTATCGCAAGCCTCTGGTTCGACTCCTTGGCCACGTCGTTACTTCCTGAGTCCGGTGCAATCGTGTGCGAGTTATCAGCATTTCTTGGCGTGCTTGTTTCCAGCTCTTCCTTCAACATTATCCGTGACAACCGAAAGGAAATTAAGGGACAAGAATTTCGCCGCGCGTTACAACCTCATCACACTCTCTTCATTTACTCGAGTTGGTCAGTCGAGTCGCTGCTTATTTAATTAAAAGTACCTAATTAGCCGGGTTTTTCGTGGTTCTCTATTGAACCACCTGTACATATTTTCATCAGGCTGGCCAAGAACTTTTGGCCCAGAAGTACATACATACATATTGTACAGTACAATTTGTACTCTGACTTGTGTACGTCGTGCGGTGAATTCTGGTACTAATCACACGTCGGCTTTGAATTTTGAACTACATACCATTATAGTTGCCAAAAGACGCTTGAACATTTGTAGGTGTCTTTAAATTATGAATTGTTAACTTACGATGACAATGTGAACCATGTTTAAATTTTTTAAATTTACAATATAAATAAAGCACGGTAAGGGATAAAGATAGATTGGTACCAGAGTCTTCCGCATGATGTACATAAGTCGTATGATGGCAACGTATATGTACTGACTGATTCATGACTGATTGGCCTGATCACTCTGAATATTTTTCATAGGCCGAAAACAGCTGATCGCTAGGTAACACTCATTTGCATACAACACAAGAAAATAACATTGGATTGGACATTCATCAAACAGCAGGAAACTAAAATCGTTGCGGACTAATATTTGTTAAAGTGTAATAATAATCAGCAATCGTCAATCGAGAAACAAATTTGTCCAGAAATACATTGTACGCATTTCAAAACGAGAAATTAGAGAACCGCAATCTTTTGTTAAGAACTTGTTATCAATTCTAAAATCAAACGTGACAAATAATTTGAGTTGAAGTAAGTTTATACTTTGATTTTTAATGTTATATCATATTCGATTTGTAATAAGAAAATTGTTATTTTTTTAAAGGTTTTCAAACTGTAGAAAATTAATTGTATTATCATTCATATGAAACTAATAACTTGTCAGTGTCGTCAGGTACTTAAGACTGAGCACTACTCAAGAAATGCTTTACAATTAAAAACAAACAATGAAAAGTCTGTTGATTTTCATACCAAACAAACTTTGCAAGGAAAAGTCAGGATATCTGTTTGGCAAAGTACTTTATGATGAAAATACAGAAGTAAAAAAATTCTATGTTATTGGAATAAGTAGGATGGATAATTCAGAAACAATAAAATGCAGCAGCAATATCATTGGATATTACTCTGATGCAGAACAGAAACGTGGACACATTGATAAGAAATATATAGATTGGATTCACATATTTTTACACTTTGGTACTTCCAAAGAAAATATTTATGATTATGCCATAAAGAGTGTTACCATAAATAATAAAAAGATTTCAACCCTAAGTTGCCATACAGTTATTATCATATATGATCAAACAGCTCTCAGAGAGACAGAACTGTTTGAACAAAAATCAACAACTGGAGACCATTTTTATGAATTAATGAAATTTGTGCAGAATAAACAAGTAGAAGGAGAATTGCAAAAGAAAGGAAAATTGACTTATGTAAAGGAAACTCTCCTAGTTTACCACATGTTTCTGTATTTCTACCCAGTTCTCTTTCTCAATAAAATAACAAATAAATTGTTACCAATTTTTAAATATTCATTTCTTGGTTTACATGTTCATGGATGGTTGGAGAATGTTAAATGGATGTCGATTACAGTAATAAGAAATAAGAGGTTTACACTAAAAACTGGTAATTATGTATTTGCACTAATAACAGATATGCTATTGGGAATATTTATGTTGCAATTGTTATTGCATTATCTGGAACATACATTTCCATCTCAAATTCTTTTGAACAATGCAGAGGCAAGTTCGAAATTTAATATAACAATAGCACTAACGTATTTAAGAACATGCAACTTCATATCTAATCATTTACAGAAAGTTGTGACACTACTTAAAGATTTAATCAACTGGTTAATGGGCGTGCCAGCTGGATTAAAATTAAATCATGCCCTGAATAATATGCTTGGCAAATTTTTTCAATATCACATACAATTATGGTGGACATTCTTAATATTTATGAAACCCTTAATGGACTTTGCTTTTGAAATGTTAGTACTACTTGGAAGATTGGGTGTTACATTCCAAATAGCAATAGCTGCAGATCTATTAGCTCTTGTCAGCTTTCATGCATATTGCATTTATGTGTATGCAACAAGGTAATAAAATATAGAGTTTAAGGATTTCAAGTAGATAATTAACTGGGTTTTCATGATAGGCTCTTCAACATTCAATTAAAGGGCATCACAGGATTAGTTAGGTTATTTTTAGGTAAAAAAAAGAATCCACTACGAGACAGAGTGGACTCCTGTCAGTACCAATCAGATCAACTATTTGTGGGTACTCTGTTATTTACAATACTTTTGTTTCTTATGCCAACAACATGGGTGTATTATGCTGTTTTCACTACGGTACATAAACCAATAAATTTGTATTATTAGTTTAATAAGGTATACAATACAAGTCACCTTATAATACAAGTTAAAATTATTCATGATTATTCAATTATTATTAATTCAATGTTAAATTTTTATTCTCAAATTTTGATAGAGTATCAATAGCCTATATAATTATTTGTTACAGCTCAGATTAGCACTGATTGGTTTTGGAGGTTTCCTGACTAGATTAAAATTTTATCTTCAAATTATGCCAGTATACACATTTATTAAATGGTTTCTGCAGTCTCATAGTACACGCAGTAAGTAATAGAACTTATAATTACCTAGCCTATTAATTTGTATAAATAGGTATGTTTTAATTAGGTATTGTCAATATCAAATTACATTCACATCATGCCGATGGACCAATTATATTAGTAATGACAATGGTTGTGGCACCATGGCAGTTTACATGGATCAAATGTATCCCAGACACAATTGCTCAACATCCACCCATTGAATGGAATAAGATAGTAAATAATATAATATGGGGTGAACTTCTATACCCCTTGTAACTATTTATTTATAACTTGTATAATGTAATATACACATCTTTCTACAATACAACACTATAATGTTAACATTATGTCGTTTTATTTAAATGTTTAATTCGAGCTCGTTCCTTTTCTTTTTTAATACCATTGAAAAACTCCTGCATTTCTGGGCTCAAAGTAACTAGTTTCTCATCAATGTCATTTTCCTCTCTAATAAAACAAAAATAAATAAGAAAAACAGCTAAACTTACTCCTATAATTATTCCTTGAATAGGAGGTTTATCATTACGGACCCCATTAGCAGGCCACGTTGCTGCTTTAGAAGTTGAGTACTTTATAGGTTCATTAAAATTATCATCTTCGTCTACAACAGTTGTACTTTGATTAGAAGTACGAAAAGTCGCGCATCTACAAAATAATAATTAATCTCATAACCTTAAAGGTATCAAATTTGATAAAATATGGAATTTGTAACTTTATGTATTTCAATATACCTTTTTAACAGCGCCCTAACATTCTTAGGTTGTAAAACAGCTTTAAATATATTTGAAGGTATCATTTTTAAACAATGTGCGCCTGTATTCGATGTATCTTGTTCGTAATGATGAAAAACTGTCTGCTCTTGCGCAAGTAGTATATACGCATATATTCTGAACTTGACAACATCATATGTGTATGTATGTACAATTATATTTTGTACTAAATTAGTTTTATATAGATGCTACTAAATAACAATCGCTTATTGTGATTGTAGCTAATATCACCGTTACTAAGCTTTTTTTTTACAAATAAACAATTCTTCCTGATCCTGCCGATTCTGGTCTTAAAGCTCTTATTCTTGTTTCTTCTGTATCACAGGTTCTAGCATCCACATGTACTTGCGGCGGTAATCAATTTTAAAAGTGAATAAGAATTCTTTATATTTTCTTATACGTATCATTCACTTCTTACGAGATAACAGTTTAACAAAATTTTCATTAACATCGCAAATTTTTCATTATCTTAGTACATAAAACAATTAATTGAAACGTGCATGCAATGGGATCTGATGGTACGTCAGAAGTTGAGGTTAAAAATCCGAAGTTACGAAAACGAAATAAAAAAAAAGATAAATTGGAAGGTGAATATCCAGAAATTTTTGTTTACGTTTAATCATATTTTATCTTGTATGTTGTGTAAATGACATTAACGCTACTTCGAACTATTTATAAAATTAAGACTCGGTGGCATTACGTTTAATAGTCTATCTAGAATGGGATCTTTTAATTGTAAATAAGGTATAAATTAATTCACATTGTAGTCGCATCGGACAATAATGTCGACCAAATACAGGAAACTAACGAGCAGAAAGTAACACAAAAAAGGAAAAGAAAAAGAAAACAAAAGTCAAATAGCAGCCATAATACAAATGGTACTAATAACGAAAAAAATGATGGAGAAGCAAATGATTTTGTTAGTGTACAAACAAATAAGAATGAACAAGATTCAAATGATGAAGCAATCTTCCCCAAAAAACTTCAAAGATCAACGTAAAGTATTTTTATCTACGTTGCCATTTCTAACTTTTAAGTTTTCAGAATTTTTTGATAACTTTTTATGTTTTAGTGTTACAAATGCAGAGAGTGATCCAGACAATATAGAAGGTGAGGAAAATGAAATAAAGAAACCAAAGCACCCTTCTAAGAGACAACTAAAAAGGGAAAAGGCTGAGAAGAAAGAAAATGAAAAAATTGAAGCTAGCAGACTGGAAGTAATGAAGAAGGGACTGAATTACGTCTCAAAGGTGTTTTATCGAAATTCAGAAAAACGAATTTAAGTAACCATTTATCGTAATTACATTATTTTTATTTACAGTGGAAACATGCAAGAAGCGAATGGAAATTTGAGAAGCTGAGGCAAATTTGGTTAATAGATAACTTATTAGATGAAACTTGCATTCCAGATGACATTTTCCCCACAGTTCTAGAATATTTTGAAGGGTGCAAAGGAATGGCAAGAGAACAACTTCTAAAAAAGGGTATGGACGTTATAAAGAAAATAGAGGAGAACGAGAAAAACAAGGATGAAATGGAAACTGTTGCTTATCAAAGGGCAAGACAGCTTTTGCAAGCTTTACCTACTGAAACATAATTAGCTCAGAAAACATACTAAAGAGTCAGATCATTTTGTACTTCACATTGATTAATGATCATTAGATGTATTAGCAAAATTAAGTGTTAAGTGTTGAATTTCAGCATCGTTTTTAATTGTATATTTATAAATTTGTAGTTATTCTCTTTTCATTTTATAATGACATCTTCACATTTGAAACTCATAAATTTTGTTGTACATGTAACTGTATTAAGTATTTGTAAATAATAAAATTTATCAGTTTATTACACGTACAAGATTTATTTAACAATTTCAACAATTCCCTATAAATTAAGGGCTATACACTGTTAAAAAGT